TCCAGATATTCGATGAAATCAAAAACAATCATTAACTCAGATTTCAGTATCAGTTCAGGTTTATCCCAAAGATCAAAGTTGAAAGTAACTCCGATTATTTTGTCATTTTGCACCGATTTTATTACGAAACTAAAGTTCTTTTCTACAAGAAAATCCCACACAGCCTCCACAAATTCCAGACAATCGGCTCTCGTTATGTCCAGCATTAAGTACTGCTCCAATTCGGGTTTTAAACAAAAGCCCTTCATGATTATTCTGCAAATTTAAATAAATGTTCATCCTTACTTTAATTGGCACGTATATTTAATTATGCACAACATACTTACTCGATTACGTCCTCCTTATGGCAGTCGTTTAATGATTCAAAGACGTACGGTTTCTGGTCAATGGCTTCTTTCAAAGGTTCCTCGTCGGATACTATGAACTTCATTCGGTCTAATACTTCGGCTAAATTTTTCGCTGTGATAAAATCCGTGATACCGATCTGATAACCTTGATCTCTTAATTTGGTCACGGTGTAAACGGAATTCAAGGAATTTCCACCAATTTCGTAGAAATTAGCGTTTAGCATTACCGGTGTGCGACTACTACGTCCGGTTACGGATGCGATGGTTGGAAAGAGGATACGGGCTTTTGCAAGATCTTGACTTGGCACTCCGCTGTAATCGCAATTCATAGCAATGTGGTCTTCTATGAAACAAAATTTTTTATTATAGTCAGTAAAACGCATAGATCTTTTGAGTTAAAATATGAATTAGTCTTTTTTTAATTTATTGATAACTGGCATGCCCCGCGGCTTCCCTCGCGACCTCATATGCATGGCTCTCATACGCGTAGTTTTTGCTATTTTGCTATTTAGCCTCTACTCAAAAAGAATAAATACCGGGTCAAAAAATAATATCACGGGAAGATTCGGTCAATTATTTCCCGAAAGCGACTTTCAATATTGATTAATTGATTAATATTTAACACATAAATTTAACAATTTATTTAGTCTCTACTTAAAAATAATAAATACCGGGTTAAAAAATAACATCACAGGAAGATTCGGTCAATTATTTCCCGAAAAATTGAAAAAATTTCGGTTACCGGTTCCCAAAAAGATCAGTATCGAAAAACTATACACTCTATAACACTCCCCGAAAAATTCTACTCCTATTTTATATACTTATTGTTCTTTCATCCTTATTGTTCTTTGAAAATAAAATTATTATGACAAATTACAAAAAAAGTAGCATTGTTATTAATCTATTCATTTTACAAATATAAGTCGCAGTAAAAAAACAATTGCATTCGTAAAATTGAATGGTGTTATTGTATTAGGCAGAAAAGAAGTTGATGTTGTAACAAAAAATTATTGAATATGTAGCATTTGGATTTATTATTCTATCAACTTAAATTTGACAACAAAAGTTGGAATGCAATACAAACACCTAAATAAAGATTGTGACATGCGTTATTTCTACATTACGGGTAACGTGGTTTTTTGAATTTGTTGTTTAAACAAATTTTCAGCAACAAATTCACCGATGTTCAAGCATTTGATTATTGAAATGTATTTTTGGATTACCTAGATGTAATTTAAAGTTAAAACCATGTCCCAGATCGCTGGCGCCTATTTGTTATAGACGATTGTTTTTTTATTATAAACAAAAGAAACGTAAAAAAATTGTTTTCGAAAATAAATTTTCTAACTCGATATTTATAAACTACACGAATTGACGAAGATCTCCTGAAAATTTCATGTCTCTATCATTAAAACTCGAAAAGTAATGCCAATTTTAAACATTTGAAAAAAAAATCGATTTTTTATTCGAAAATATTGAAAATCGCTGGTAGCGACCTCTAAAACTTGTTCGATTTTGCTCTAATTTTGAGGAAAATTCTTTTTTTAGATAAGCTTTGATATTTTGGGGTGCGTCGCGAAAAATAAAAAAAGAATGTTTTTTTGAATCACCCTACTATGTATGAAACTATGTATGTTAAAATTGAAATAAAAGGAAAGAAATACATATTTATAAACCGGTTTTCTTAATTATAGATTAGTCACTCGTTTCACATAGTTTCACATAGTCTTGTTATATATCTAGCTCTGTAAGCTTGTAACTAAAGATCAGATTTTTTATATGCAGATTGGTGAAAAAGAGCAAATAAAAAATCCGATGCTTTCTTATAAACATCTATTTTTATACGTAAACGTTTACATATAAGACAGTTACATGTAATTAAAATATAACTAAGTAAAATAATTAATATTTCAATATCTACGATATTTAATATTTCAAAGAGATATTCCGACGTACGTATCATTTTACTTGACACAACGATATAAAGTCATCATTGATTTGACATACCGTCATTAGAGCAAGATGATTCGTATCTTCTTAGCAATTCCTGTCGATTCGTTTTCCCATTTGTTAGAAGAGGTATGTGATCAACAATAAAAATTTGTGGTAACATATATGGCGGTAATATCTTTTGAAGAAGATTTTCGATCTCCGAGACGGATAGAGTCGAGCATTGGAACGAATGCGTAACGGTAACGAACGCTATTAATGCCTGAAAATATAAAATATACCTGTATAAATTAATTTAACGAAAATCGATTTACACATTTTTTAATTTTTTTTAAATATTCGGGCCTTTAGTAGCTTTAGTATAATATTATAGTAATTTAGAGATGATGCTTTTAGAATGTATGAACAATAAAACGTTGCCGATAAAACGTTTTTAAATTTTATGAAACTGTATAGTAGAATAGTTTGTTCGGTGGAAGCAATTAGATTTATGAAGCATCGATACTCAATTGATAAATTACTTTCAATTTTTTCTTAACCCTTACTTGCCACACTGAGATCAAATCAACCCCACGACCATATTTCCTTAATTTTAAGTACCGAAACCTACGGGGAGCGGGTCTATAGTGACATCTGTCAATAGTTCGAGCATGCCACTCTCCCCTCAAACCAGTGGCATTACGCCGGGATTGTT